AGCCTTTTTCGGCGCCTGTGCTGCTTAAGTCATGGCATGTGAAGATGGCTTCCTCCTTGTAGGTCAGCGTGCGTTCCACCTAGTGCGCATGACCGAAGAAACGTATCTGACGTATGACGTCCAACGCGTTTCGCCGATGGGCGTATCTCACTCAGCTTCGTCAGGACCAATGAGATTCCTGCATTCAATTTTCTATTTATAGGGGTTAAACCCACCCATTTATGCAAAAATTAACTAGTTATTCCATTGGAAGAAAAAAAGGGGGCTAAATACTTAGCACAGCTCTGGGTCATTATTAAATTCATTTAAAAGAACAAGCGACTGAAATATCAGAGAGCTTTTCATAGGGGATATACCACGTGTATCTTTATTGGGATTTCTTGTTTTCCTTACAGAAAGTGGTGTGTAGTCCACATACAGTGGTGAAGAAACCATTTCAAGCAGGGCTCTGCTATTTGCATCTATCCTTCCATCCTGGTAACAAATGGGGCTTATTCTCATTTAAGAGCCCTAAGGAAACAGTTGCTTATATTACAGATGAATGGGCCCCAACCACATGTGCCGGCATAGGAGTGTACTGCATTTTATATATGACATTCATTTTTTCTTGTCTTTTATAGGCCTAGAGGCATGTTTCTCTTTTTGACGCACACTGTGCTTGCTGTACTGCATACATGTGATATTTTATATCTATAGTGTAATGTTTTGACACTCCCTGTTTGGGATATAACCATTTTGGTAGTAGCATATGTCTACACATTTACAACATGTTACATGGTATACCTATGGTATAATTTTTGTATACACCTCCTGTGGGAAGTGTTCACCTGTGAACCAGTGCTACAAAAACTTTAGGCTCTATTAGTCACTGTCTTTGTTGCGCAATTATTTGGACCGGTCTTGGTGTCATTTTATATGGTTTTAGGTCTGTGTGTATTGTCTCATACTGAGGTGATGGTAAACCAGGGCGATTGCCCAAATGTCAAACTTGTATATGTAATAAAGCATAATTTTTGGAAATTTTTCTGATTGTCACACTCTGTTCATAATGTAGCCACTTTCTCTGTGAATTTCTTTTCACAACCCCCTTTTTTGTGCATGTCTTTTTTGGCTACTGAATGGAGGCCATCTACTGGGTGATATGGTAATTTATTATACAACCTCTAAATAACTATCTTTAACGAGTTTGATGCTTACCCTGAAAAGCTAAGTGAAAAGGTTACTTGAAACCCCCCAAAAAGGTGTATAGAAAATTAAAGAAAATCTGTCATGGGAAAAATGTGGGCACTGCCATTGTTGATGATGTTAAATGCCTGTCTGTCATACTGACCTTCTGGCATCAATGCTTTCTTAGTCACTGAACCAGAAAAAGTATGGAGGTCAGAAAAGTCCTCCTTATCTGCATACCTGTTCTGGGTCAGTGACTCAGAAATCAAAGAAATGGCATTACAACAAGGCAAATAATATTTTCATTAGGGAGGACATCAGTGACTTGTATTGTCAGCCCACAACAAGAAATAAGGAGCTGAGTGCACAAACATTGCAGAGATGGACTTCATATATTTGTTTTACCGTGATATACATGTTATCCCCCATTCACACCTGATCTATTTGTTGCATTTCTTAAAGAGCAACAATGGTCAAGAGGAAGATAGACTTCAGTAAGTATGGAAAACGCATGCCATAAGCATTTTAGCTCGTGCTTGCACCTAACAATTGGAACCTACTCCAAGCAACCTCAGGCCTGTAAATAGAATAGAGGACTCACGAATAGCCATGTTGGATATGGAGATTTTCATCTGCCCGACAAGGACCCACAAGATTCTTCTATGGACCCAGCGCTGGCCATCGGAAGATCCCCAGGGGCCCAGCGTTGGCCATCGCAAGGTCCCCGAGGGGCCCAGCGTTGGCCATCGCAAGGTCCCCGAGGGGCCCAGCGTTGGCCATCGCAAGGTCCCCGAGGGGCCCAGCGTTGGCCATCGCAAGGTCCCCGAGGGGCCCAGCGTTGGCCATCGCAAGGTCCCCCGAGGGGCCCAGCGTTGGCCATCGCAAGGTCCCCCGAGGGGCCCAGCGTTGGCCATCGCAAGGTCCCCCGAGGGGCCCAGCGTTGGCCATCGCAAGGTCCCCCGAGGGGCCCAGCGTTGGCCATCGCAAGGTCCCCCGAGGGGCCCAGCGTTGGCCATCGCAAGGTCCCCCGAGGGGCCCAGCGTTGGCCATCGCAAGGTCCCCCGAGGGGCCCAGCGTTGGCCATCGCAAGGTCCCCCGAGGGGCCCAGCGTTGGCCATCGCAAGGTCCCCCGAGGGGCCCAGCGTTGGCCATCGCAAGGTCCCCCGAGGGGCCCAGGTTGGCCATCGCAAGGTCCCCCGAGGGGCCCAGCGTTGGCCATCGCAAGGTCCCCCGAGGGGCCCAGGTTTGGCCATCGCAAGGTCCCCCGAGGGGCCCAGGGTTGGCCATCGCAAGGTCCCCCGAGGGGCCCAGCGTTGGCCATCGCAAGGTCCCCCGTGGGGCCCAGCGTTGGCCATCGCAATATCCCCGGCAAGCGGCAGTGGATCTGAGAAAAAATTGGCATAGCGGACATGGCTCAAGAACTCCAACAGCACAAGACAGCACTACACCACACAGACAAATTACATATGATGTCACAGAAGATACTACTTCCAGTGGATAAAACCAAAAGGCCTAAAACGTGAAAACAGATAAAAAATGTGTTTGTGCCCAAAAGAAAAAAAAAAAGAAAATCTGCCTTCAAAACTGCTTGAACCTGCTCTGGCTCATGTGGGAATGGGGGCTTAAGCATTGGTTGGTAAACAGACTTTATCAAGCTTCATGGAGTTGAAATTTTTGGAACTGTAACTAAAAAGAATGGTTAAGCAAATATCTAAAATGTTTAATGTTTACAATAAATGATACAGTATATACTGGTTATAAAGATGACTTTGGTGTAAGAAGCAGGCACACCCCTTGAACTTGTATCCTCCGGGGTACTATTGATGGAGAACGTCTGATCCTGGTGGCAAGCAGCATTTTTGGGCTCCTAACTAAGCCAGGAACCATCTTGAAATGATTAGGAGACATCTTGCCATTTTGTTCTATTTGATGTAATTGCCACTTATTAATTAGCTGCTATATAGCCTCGTAATGAACTGAACACACTTCCATTTCTGAATTCAGTTAGGAAGGCTGTCTGACTCCATTAGTTTGTGTTGGCAGAAGTTTTCGGTACAATTTGGCAAATCTAAACCTTAGTACAGTGAGACTGGCCCCGGTTTTATATATTGGGATCTGTGTTGGTCCCCGTTGGTTTTATATTGTTGTGACAGCTGCTAGTGACCCCGTTTCGGCAAGTAAATTTCCCCTCCAAGTTTACTGGACCCAGCAGGACATGTTCCATTGCATTGTGGCTTTTTTTTTTCTTTTTAGTATTTCTGTCCAGCAATGTCAAATTGTATTTGTAACCTCCTAAAATAAGGTTTTTGTTCTTGAAGCAGCTTGGTCATGCTGGAGGCAAGATCACAGGGATAGTATGTGCTGCTATTGCTGAACAATCGGCAGAATAAAATTGGGCTGGGCCTTTTTTTTGTAGATTAGACTAGGAACTGCAAGGGGTCTGACCTGGAGCAAATCTGTAGACAGAATGGAAACCTCTACTGAGAGAATATGGAGGCCACCTTCGGTGACATTTCTTGCTGGGTTCACACCTTCCTGCACTGTGCGGGGTGATTGGAGATGTTCCTGCACCCGCAGCCAAATCGTGCTGCTCTTAGGCTAGGTTCACATCTGTGCGGGTGGTGCCGCCGTGGATCCGCACGAAAATCTGCGCAGCCGCACCACCCTCAGAGAGAATGCGGACCCGCGGTGGGTGCCATTAGTTTTAGTGGTACGCCGCCCGCACTGGAAAACGCAACCGTACTGGGAGCTGAGGTTCCTGTGTGGGCTGCGTTTTCAGAAGAAGTGCAGGGACTTCTTCCCTGCGTGTCATGGGGCATGGGAGTCCATTCAAATGAATGGGCTCTTGTGCCCACGCAAAACGCGACCCTCACAGCCGCATATATGTGAACCAGGGGTGAAAGCAGTAGTCCGCAGTCCTTTCTCTTTTTTGGGGTACCCCAGGTGGGTATGCCATAATGTGCTACTGTGCACAGCCATATTAGCACATCATAGACTTGCCTGTCTAATTGAGCCGGCGGTTCCTGGGTGCTTCCTTCATCGCCCGGTCTTCCTTCTGGGTTTCATGCCTTTTGGCTGCTTGATTGGGCAGGTCACGATGATGTCACTTCCATGCATGCCCACGAGAGTCACATCGCAGCAGTACAGATCGGGGACGTAAATGTTTCCCGAGCTGTGCATGCGTTGCTCAGTGTACATGGCGGCTGACAGGCAGGAGGAAGCATTCATGACAGAAGAGACCGATGTGGTTTCTTCTGTCATAAGTATCCTGTCTGTCGGCAATTGTTTTTTTAAAAAACAAAGTTTTATACCACTTTAAGAGGCCCGCAGGGCTGCCATTCATTCTTAATGGCACCTGCACACATCTAAACCCGCAGCATGGTTGTTGATGCAGGAACTGCAGGGAAATTGCATGGTCAAAAGCACCATGCAATTTCCCTGCAGCCGCGTTTTGGAAAAGGTGCACGCCCCTTTCTTCCGCGGGAAAAGCGGGCGCAGCAGCCCATTCAAACGCGGGCTGCACAAGTGTAAACCAAGCCTATAACAATCAAAGTTAGTCATTTTTGTGAAAAATTTAACTTACACTTTAAGGCTCCTCGCACACGGGGCGATTTAATAACGATGGTAACGTTAGCTGTGTAAAGTCACGTTAAAAATGTGAGTTTTTCAGCATTTTTTAGCGTTTTTAAATTAGCGTTTAGCTGCGTTTTTTTTCGTGTTTGTGTTTTTTTTAGAGTTTTTTTTTTTTTTTTTTTTTTGCCCAAAAAAATAACTTTCGGTCAAAAAAAAAGTCCAACAACGCTGGTTTGTAGCGTTTTACTGCTTTTTGCCATGTTTTTCAGCGTTAGAGCGTTTTTACAACTAAAATACCTCTAGAAACCCACTAGTCTGGGTTTTTTTTTTCCCAGCCAAAAAACATTGATTACAGTCTGTGTGTGCATGGACACATAGGATAACATGCTGGGGGGTTTACTGGCTGTAGAGAAAAATGTCAAAAGCCAAAAACAGCTGCTGAAAAAACATCCCGTGTGCATGAGGACTGACTTTGGTTTTGACACTTTACTCCCTCCCCACCCCTGGACACTGGTGTCCTTGCCTCCATGGGCAATTAGTTGTCACTGCCCACATGGCTGGTACAGTGGTCCAGGGATTTGAAAGCCCCACACTTCTTCTCCGTCTTTCCTTAGGGCTTCCAGGACAGATCTGCTCAATTCTGATTGGTCTCCTGACCACTTTGACAAATCGGAATCGCTTTGGTGTGTCCTGAAATCCCCAAGGAAAGGCTGAAGAAGAATGGAGCTTCCAAATTCCCAGACTGCTGCATCGGCTCTGTGGGAAGTGTGAACCAGAGGGATAAGGAGGGTGTTTGGTGTTGATTTTTTCTGGTGCAGCTGTTCATGGTAACCATGCATGGTAGCCAATCGTCTTCAATCCTCAGCTTGTTCTATTAAGCTTTGATTAAAAAAAAAAACCTGGAAGCTGAGAGGTTTCATACATAGCTGCACCCAATTGCACTCTCCAGTTTTAGTCGTCCCCCCCCCCCCCCCCCCCCCCCCCCCCCCCCCGGTCACATCAAGCCCGACTTACAGTGAAGTCGCACAATTTCAAAGTTGGGTGAGATGCCAATTTCAGGTGCGATCTGCAAGACATCTGACACCGATGTCTATGCAAATCGCACCAAAAGTAGTACATATACTACTTTTAGAAATCGGTGCGGCTCCAACCAAGTCGGAACCGCACTGATATGATCGCTCTAATAGGGTGCGACTTGGCATACGATTTGCAAGTCGCGTGCAAAGTTGCACCCGATGTGACCGGGGTGTAAATCAAAGCTTAATTCAACAAGCTGAAGTTAGAAGCTGATTGGCTACCATCACAGCTGCACCGCATTCTGAGTGCTCCAGTTTTTTTAACCCCCCCCCGCCCCCCCCCCACTATATTGTATATTTTAAATATCAGCTCTGGCATCCTGTGCTTCCTGGTCAGTAGTGCAGCAGAGCGATTGTGCTTTACTGCTCCTCCTAGGTCACTAATGATTCTGCGAATTGGCCACTTTTGTGGAAATCAGTTTGCCGCCTTGTGATGGCGGCCTAACACTTTTATTTGCATGACAGTCGATGGACCAAATGCTGCCTAGGCCTGGCTTACATAATGGGATATTCGTATGACAGCTGTGGAAATGTTTATCAGTTGGAATGACACATGTGAATTAGGACTTCCATTCTAAGTGCTTAGCATTGCTATCTGGAATGGTTGCAATAGCAGACATTGGCATACCATGGCTAAGGAATGTCTCAGGCTATTCGATTGATGGGCAGCTGTCTACAGCAACTCCACCGGACAAAGCCTTGCTAATGTTAGAAGATGGAGGCTATATAGACCTTTGGGTGCAAAAAAACCAAAAGGTGTGATGGATGTAGAACTCCCAGGATTTAATTTTTTTTCCCCCTAACCCAGTTTCTTCCCCCCTCTCCCTGGGGTCTCAAGGTATTTTATCAGCTGTGGGGGAAGATGGTCATTTTGCACATGCTCAGTAGAATATCATACTACGCCCAGTTAACTAATCAGCATGTCTTTGGAGTGTGGAAGGAACCTGGTGAACCTGGAGGAAGCCCATGCAAGTACAAGGAGAACATGCAAACCACCATTTAGGTGGTGTCCTGACTGATGCTCGAACTGAGGACGACATATTAACCACTAAGACACCGTGCTGCCCCCCAACTTGTTTGAATCCAATTGTCTTTTCTATAGTGGGGGGTTCACTGATTGGTTTAGGAAACTTTGTGAATTTTTCATTGCTATCCCGTGTTTGATTGAAGGCCTTCCTTGCAGTCTGTAATGTTACCAAACATCCCCCCTCCCTCCCATACTGTCTCCTCTTCCTGCTTCATTTCCCATCTGCATCTGTAATGAACGAAGCTTTGCTCTGTATTAATAATTTATGGTTGGAGTGTGTAATGACTTTGATGGAGATGGCAGTCCTAGCTTAGAAATTGTTTGTTTCCTCTTAGAAATGAGTATTGGAGTGGAAAAGAGCTATACATTAGATAGAACGGGCTTGAGTATTGAAGCTTTGTGATGGGGAGGACATAGATTATTCCCGTGTGGAGATCCTGCCAGAGGAATTCTCAAGCAATGTAACACGCCTATGATTCCACCAAAACTGAGTGGATTGAACCTTCGCTAAAGTCAGCTCTTAAGGTGCTTTGTGGTCATCTACACAAGAAAGCAGAAAGGAAAAGGAGGAAGGCGTGAAGGCGGACTCTTAGCATGGCTGAATGTATTCTATGGACTGCTGCCCATGATGCCCCCTCCAAACACACACAGGCACTGTGCCTAGGACAGCTGAACCCCTTCCCCCCCCCCCCCCCCCCCCCCCCCGTCCGTCCTGGCCCTGCTTGTCAGAATGAATTAGGTTTTCAGGGGTGAAAACATTGTCGCGTCCTTCAGAGTACAGGGATAGAAAGTACTATGGAAAACTCTATGCCTAATTCAAGCGAGGTGAAAGGAAGGAACCTGGGATAGTGTGGGGACTGAGGACTCTGAAGAAGAACCTGGGATAGTGTGGGGACTGAGGACCCTGAAGAAGAACCTGGGATAGTGTGGGGACTGAGGACTCTGAAGAAGAAACTGGGATATGTGGGGGACTAAGGTCTGAAGAAGAAACTGGGATTGTGTGTCGGACTAAGGACTCTGAAGAAGAACCTGAGATAGTGTGCGGACTAAGGACTTTGAAGAACAACCTGGGATAGTGTGGGGACTAAGGACTCTGAAAAAAGAACCTGGGATAGTGTGGGAAATAAGGACTCTGAAGAAGAACCTGGGATAGTGTGGGGAAATAAGGACTCTGAAGAAGAACCTGGGATAGTGTGGGGAATAAGGACTCTGAAGAGAAGAAGAACCTGGGATAGTGTGGGGAATAAGGACTCTGAAGAGAAGAACCCTGGGATAGTGTGGGGAATAAGGACTCTGAAGAAGAACCTGGGATAGTGTGGGGAATGAGGACTCTGAAGAAGAACCTGGGATAGTGTGGGGAATAAGGACTCTGAAGAAGAACCTGGGATAGTGTGGGGAATAAGGACTCTGAAGAAGAACCGGGATAGTGTGGGGAATAAGGACTCTGAAGAAGAACCTGGGATAGTGTGGGGAATAAGGACTCTGAAGGAGAACCTGGGATAGTGTGGGGAATAAGGACTCTGAAGGAGAACCTGGGATAGTGTGGGAATAAGGACTCTGAAGGAGAACCTGGGATAGTGTGGGGAATAAGGACTCTGAAGGAGAACCTGAAGGAGAACCTGGGATAGTGTGGGGAATAAGGACTCTGAAGGAGAACCTGGGATAGTGTGGGGAATAAGGACTCTGAAAGAGAACCTGGGATAGTGTGGGGAATAAGGACTCTGAAAGAGAACCTGGGATAGTGTGGGGAATAAGGACCCTGAAGAAGAACCTGGAATAGTGTGGGGACTAAGGACCCTGAAGAAGAACCTGGAATAGTGTGGGGAATAAGGACCCTGAAGAAGAACCTGGAATAGTGTGGGGAATAAGGACCCTGAAGAAGAACCTGGAATAGTGTGGGGAATAAGGACCCTGAAGAAGAACCTGGGATAGTGTGGGGAATAAGAACCCGAAGAAGAGGAAAATAAAGAGAAGAGTCAACGAGTTGGAGCCTGCCACGCGTCTTACAGGGATGTGTATCATGAGAGATGATTATTTGAAAATAACTCCCCTTAGACATTCTTTGTCTCTCTGCTTTGATAGATTTGCTTTTGGTTTGTAAATTTCTCCTTGAGTTATTGATCTCTGTAAACAAGCTTTTTTTAACAAAAGGTGGTAGAGACAACAGAAAACCCTTAAAAGGAGTCCAACACCACCTGCTGGTTGGATAAAAGATTTAATTGCAAACTTTTCATATTTAAAAAGTTGAAATACTGTATGTTTAAAATATTTAAGTCCTGATGGTCTTTACTGTAAATTGAAAAAAAACCTTGTCCAGTCTTTATTCCAAGAAAAGACTTTGTGTATTCCTCATCCATTGTCTAAACAGAAATGCACCAGAGCATCCTAGTTTAGGGTGGAGTTTGGGCCAAAAAACATCTTGAGATGGTTGGATCATGCAAACAAATTGTAACCCATCCTCTGATGTCTATGGCCAGCTTGAATCCATCTCTATATCATTCTGATAAGGCAAATATTTAACGTTCCTCTGTTTCATAATCGGACCTCTTATATCACAGCTGGGGACCCTTGTTGGAACTTTTATCTGTATTTGCGATAAAGCTTGTAAGTGCTCTGAGATTAGGAAAAGGAGAATCCTAGCCCTCTTGTTAGGAATATTTTCCAAACACCTCGCTCCATTCAGTAATCCCCCCAGATCCCTTCTATCCTGACCACTCTCCCACACTCAGAACGGCGTCTGCTTTATGTCAGCTGGCCATGCTTCCGCCGCCATTACTGTGTAATCAGATAGCATCCGTTGTTCGGTCGTCATATTCCAAAACATGGTGAGGTCATCATGTCACAAACTCCAATGTTGGTATAGTCCTTTGTTCGCGAGTCTTCCCATGTGTGTATGGGGCTTCTATGGCATATGTACACAATATGGTGACGTTAGAAGAATTCATACCAATAACATTTGGCGTCATTGAGTTTTCTTTTGCGGTTTGCTCCAGTTTAGATATTTTAAGCCTCGTAGATCCAGTTGGTCTCCCAGGTCAGGGAATGAATGTGCTTTTGTGTATACCTAGTAAAGTAGTACTAATGCCTTACATTTTTTACACGTTAGATCTATATAAGTTGAGCTGCAAACAATAATTGTTTATTTGGAGAAAAGTGGAGAAACATAAATGCTGCGATTATAATCCCAGCCTCCAGGTTGCTCTGCACTGCTTCCTTGCATTTCCGGTTGGAGAGCTTGCAATTTAAAAAAAAAAAAACATACACATTCCCCCTGATCCACTCCTTGGGGCCATGTGACCCATGATGCCAAGCACCATCGTAGATATTGCATATTCAGAAAGTTACATTTAACCGTGTA